ACTACTAAATTGTAGAGTTGTGGTTCATTGCTGTTGGGAGATAACCCCTAACCACTTGACCACGGGTTCAGGCCTCGCTTTAATTATCAAGGCTCAACCAGCCAGGTAGTGATAATACCCCTTCAAAAATAGAGTTTTTTCTTTTCAATTTATTTCAATTCAGATAAATGCTGAAATTAAAAAAAGAGTTTTCCAACAGTCAAACAAGTCCATTTATATGACAGTAGAACGAGTGGAAATGGTTATGTATTTTGACATCCAGCTTCCATTAGTTCCTAACCATTTACCTAAAGGCTTTTATTTTTAAGATTATCTTTGTTTCTACCCTATATTCTTGCCTGGATTGTATTCATCTAAACGTTTTTTTACTTCGCTTTGTTATTTGCAATGACCTGTGATCCTGTCAGAAAGTGGATAATGAGATTTATATTACAGATCAGAAGCATTAACAAAGCGAACATACATTAATCTTTAGAGAAAAACTGACATAAATTCTATAAAATATTTGATTACCAAGTAGGCCGCCCTGATTACTTTATGACTTCAAGGTAATAATGATGTTAGTAACTGCTTTATTCCAAACAAATCCTGTGATATAAATGAAATTCTGTTACTCTACAAAAAGGAAGAACCTCGTTCTGAACACATCTTCAATTACCAATCTTAGCTGTAAAGTACTGAAGGCATATAAAAGGTTTCCAACGTCTGAATTTGAAAATAAGAATCATACTGTGTTGAAAAAGTGTTATGCTACCATACTTATTTTATTTATCACTATTACTCACCACTTATGCTTAAGAAACAGTAAGTCTTTATTGCTTTCGTATAAGTGAATAGGTTGAGGAGAACGGATCATTGAAGAAAGTTTAAACCATTTTGGCTGAAAAACCACTGGGTTTTGAATCTAGTGCATAACTTTATTCAAAGAAGTCATCCGTGTGGAGAGATAAACATTTGAGCTTTGTTTTCATGTTGGAAACTGGTTTGCAAGAAATGAAAAAATTATAATAATCCACTTAATAATATCAGCTGTCGAATATGTGGTTTATTTACTTGGTATTTGACCACAAATTCTAACCATGCAATTAACTGGAAATCGCTGGGATATTATGCAGCTTATCAAAGAAATGAGACTGAGTTTATTCCTGTTATGCAAAACATTTTGCTTCAAATCATATATTGCTCCTCTAGATTTATACTTATTTGGCTGAAAGACCATTGAAAAGTTACTGATTCAAAGTAACTTTAATTTCTTCAATCAACAGGCAATAACTTTAAATTCGTAGACACTACTAAGCATTGAAAAAGTTTTCACTTTCGGTTTTGTACCATCCATTGGTATCCCTTTTTGATAAGTAACAGATTTTGTGGTCAATAACTTATCATTGAGCCACTGTGTAGGCTCTCACCTCCAACAGATAGCCAACTTAACCAGTTTAAGTTATCAACTGTTTGAAATGTACATGGCTACCTACGTTTTATCTGCATTTTTGAAGTTACTTCAGCAAAGACATAAAATGAATTTGCGAATTCACCTCTGGTTGAGTTGGTGATGATGTAACCAAACAAATGCTCACGAACAAATAAGCTAACTGATTACTGTCCTATCTGAAGTGATATCAGGACAATTTTGCTGGTTATCTGGTTAACCAAATGTTATTATCTCTTACTGGAATTAGGATATCGCTTAGATAAAAGAGATATCATCAAGATGACATAAGCACAAGCTGCGTAATCGTATGTAACCCAATAAACAGTCAACCGTTAGTGACAGAATAATCACATTTAGACGAGTACATATACTATTCCACTTCTGTTCATATATCTTACGTTTCTAATTGGTGTATTTTATATAAAGAACGTTAAAAATACTTCTATGAATTTTATCATCTGCCTAACTTTGAAATTATTAAGGGATTCTACAAGTTGCTACTTAGACGAATAAAACGTTTCGGATTCGTAAGTCAGAGCTACACTATCTGAAAGGAGATGGACTTCATTCATTTCTTTAAAACAGTTTGTAATCAACTGAAATATATTTGTAAAGTTTCAGTGTGGTCGAAAAATAAATTTTTGATGTTTCTTGACCACGTGGAACTCGCTTCTTCAGAGAATAAAATGTGTACTAGTTATCGCATGTTTGAATAATAAATGACGACAAGTCAGATCAGGTTGTTCATGTATGTTAACGATATAAGGATAAATGTTATTGTTATCAATCATTTGCAAGTTGCACAAAACGGCATCTAAATAATCCTATGGAACTAGAGTATTTACAAGTACAACTGGCAATTGATGTTCATAACGTCTAACATAGTCACGAAATTGACAATGACGGTTTCTTGAACTAAGACATTTCACACTGTGTTGAAGTCTAATGCACTAAGTAGAAAGGAAGACCAAATTATTTCAACAACTTGGACAATATATCCGGAATAACATATCATACACAATGATCAGAAGAAAAGTACATACATAAACTAACTGATTTCGTCATTCACAGTATTCTTCTCAAATATGCACATACATTCACATCTTCACCTTGAACTCACAGACACATGATTAATAACAACAACAACACTTGTTCACACATCGTGATATGATTTGTCACCGTTTACAATTTAAACATGTTGTATCATGCACCAGTTTTTTCTCTGAAAAAGCAATTTCCATGGAGTGGCGAAGCTTCGGGAATCTATTATCCTATCTCAGTGAGATTTTACAAATGTATGTCTTTAATAAACAACTTATTCAACACTATCAGGTCAAATTTTGATCCTGAAGTCTATCAGACTTTTATAAAGAGTGTTTAAGACCTTCATCTTATTCATTGCAATTTGAAATAACGAACAAAACAATTAAAAATCCAGAACTGACGGAAAGTTGTTAATGCTAGTAGTGGTACTCATGCTCAGTACGTAAGTATGACGATCTCATATCTAACATAAGAAACACTAAGTCTCGTATACACAAAGTTGCAACATCTATAAACAGTTAGAATTAAAATGGGTTGCGTTTTTCACCTATACTATGATGCATTTCAAAATAATTAAGTAGCGTCATTATGAATACAAAATAACTTATCAAAAGCAGTCTACATAATTACTAAAATTTTACAAAGATATAACTGTACCAAAAATTTGTTGAAACTAAGGAGAGTAAATAAATGCCGTACGCCATAACCTACAACACTAGTTCAAATTTTTTAGTAGACAATTAATCTCATCAATCAGTTTATTTTCACATTGAACTTTCTGGAAAGAAATAATTGAAATACCTGTGATTTTTATACATTAGGTCATACAAGAAGATTGATATGATAAATATGCTTCGGATTCTTTGAATTAGGTCAGTTTTCAATATATCACAAATATGAAAGATTGAAATAAGTATTTTTTTATAATATACATAAATCTATGCATTAAAATCTTATAAGACTCGTTTACTTCATTTATAACAAACAGCGATATATTATTATTTACTTTACAAAGGTAATTCAACAGTAATTATGAACAAATTAGATTATTTCAACAAAATTGACGGACTATCTAAAGAGATCAAGAAACGTTTAGACACGGTCATCAATAAAATTAAAAAATCTACAGCTGATCTGATGAGCTGACTATATCCATCTTTAGGTGAGTCTAAGTAGTTTAATTTAATGCTGAAAAATCAAGTAAATAATATTGTATCACTTTGTGTTATAAATCAAATAAACAAATCCAATATGAAATTGAATTCTATCACAGTACCAGAGTTTTACACTTATCCTAGGGATACCATTTTTGACCATCTAAGATAATCATGTTTTAACAGACTGGTTATCATACTGTGTGATGAATGAAGGTGAAATGAAAATTTGGGTTACGACAAGATTCGAAGCAGCGACCACAGTGTTCCCGACCTACTGCTCTACTAACTGAGGTACTAGACCTGAAATACGATTAACTTTTATGAAACAATGAACTGTTTTCTCCACATTTCTTTAAATCACCAGTTATTATTATATATTATTAAATTATATAATTTTGATATAAGCATATACTATTTTTTCTCAAAATAAAAAATGAACTAATGAAAGAGTGACAATTTTCCACGCCTAACTTCTACAAAACCCTCCTTGCCGCTATTTCTGACCGTCAGTAATTTAATATCTCATTTCCTAATAAGCTTATTAAAAATCTTGTGCACATCTTAAAATGTTCGGAAGTAAGTGACAAAATCTCATCAACATGACTGAACAATGCAAAGTTACACTATTCCATAAGTAGCTAGTTCAGTAATCATTTAATTAAATAGTCAGATTTGACAAGAAAAATGATCAAAGCTGTTTAGATTCTGTTTCTATATTTGTCATACGCAGTGATTTAATGACGTTCATTGTTATTAGTTAGCCTTTTATTCAAATGCAGGCAAGCAAGCATTATCTATTGAACAGCATTGGCAGTGTATGTGATATTTTGTCAACCAAAGTTCGGTGTAAATTATGGTTTTTAGTTTTAGTACCAAAGGAAAAATCGCCTCCATAAAATGATTTTTCTACTATTAGTTCCTGTTTCAAGTGTAATTTTAACTTATGGATGTAAAACTCGCCTTTCAGACAAATTCAACATGGCAACATAAAAGTATCAAAAAATAGGTTGACTCAATATCTTTATAAACTCAGAATATTTTCCTATTGCATCTCAATTTTTTTCAAATACAATTGGTTTAAAATATCATTCTGGTAAATAATTTTCATTGGCTAGTAATTACCTAAATTACGCATCATGCTATTTAACACAGGTTTTTAAAGGTAGATAAGGTGATCTGGTTGAAGAATTACTCTTGGTGTTGAAATTAAACTTAATTATTTCATAGCTTACACATAAGGAGTATATGTGTCGACTGAAATTTGTATACAACATTTCTTAATATTTTTGAGGAGGAGCGTGATTTAGATTATGAAACATTGTTCGCTAACTGAAGAAGATTTTTCATCCGCAGTGAACTAAAACAAAATGCATTCAAATCTCAGTCATAACTATTCCTCTAATATTTTTAACAGTTTTAAATCAAATGAAAATTTTTCTTTATGTGAAACACCACCGGAAACTGGTGATTGGAAATTACAAAATGATATTCTAACAGCTTTTTTGATTCTAGCCACGGTTGTTATATTTTTTGGTAACTTACTTGTTATTCTGGCTGTAGCAACAGTGTGCAAGCTTAGACGAATTTCAGATCAATATATAGCTTCACTTGCTGTTGCTGACCTGTTTGTATCTGTTTTTGTCCTACCATTTGCAGTGATACGTCAGAATCTTGGTTACTGGCCGTTTAGATCGATATATTTATGCCAGTTTTATATATCTGCTGATATATTCACATGTATGGCTTCCATACTTAATTTATGCTGTATATCACTGGATCGGTATTTCGCTGTGAATTATCCCTTAAAGTATATAACAAGGCATAGTCGTCGCATATCCTTCATTATGATATCAACAGCATGGATAATACCAGTATTTTCCATCTTACCACCATTAGTTGGAAAAAATGAACATATAGTAGGTGTTGGTTGTTGCTATATAACCTACAACAAAGACTATAGAATTTATTCATCTGTGTTAGCATATTTTCTACCTTTATTAATAATTGCATATGTGTATACAAGAATATTTTGTGTCATTAAAACAAGATCAAAACAATTTCAGCAATTCGAAGATAACTCAAAGAAAACTAGTTGTTACAAATCTTTGTGGAAAAGTTGTACTACATTTAAATGTTTGGCAAGTACCAATCAATTCAAACAACATGAACAATATTCAGAACCGTTCAATTCTAAAGCATCATTTAAAAGTGAGACAAACGTTTCAAAAGATGATAATTATGTTTCATTCATAAAAGATTTTGATAGCTTTTATCTAGATTTACCGAAACTAAACCAATTTCCTCAAAATTACAAATGTAAACATACTGACGGAGACTATCATAAGGATACAATGCATTCTACTGCTAATAGTCTCAGTGTTAGTTCAACTACAGATTTGGAAATGAATGCTCCAGAACCGGTTGAACTTACACTAAAAAATTTACAAATATTTCAGGTATCTACATCACAGCATGAAACACATGACAAGATTCAACTTGAAACTATTCATTCTAAAAAAATAACTTATGAAATTTTTACGTATGATAGAATCCAGTCTAATCAGATTAAATTGAATGATGAAATCAGACATTCGATTGAGGGACAAAACATTGATCGCTCTACAGTACATAAAGATGTACAACGTTCTGAAACTTCTTTCTCTACTCATACAAAAATAAACAAAAAATTTAAATACTCAAAAAACAGTAAAGGAAGTAGAAAGTCATATCAACGTCGTCGAGAAAATGTGGTATTCAACCGAGAAAAGAAAACAGTACGAACTGTTGCTATTGTAGTGGGATGTTTTATTATATGCTGGACTCCATTTTTTGTCTTCTATCTTGGGGAAGCAGTCTGTGATTGTACCTTTTCAGAGGAATGGTATGCAGTAGTTACATGGCTAGGGTATTTAAACAGCATTTTCAATCCTTTTATATATGCACTTTACAATAAAGAGTATGCTAAAGCTTTTATGCATTTAATGCATTTAAGACGTGTATAGCACTTGAAATACTCAAGTTATGGCATGTTCATTTTCGTTAATTATGCTACTTTTTATAATACAAATGATTTAACTTTTTTTAGGACAGAATTAGAACATTTGACAATATTTCTGTAAGTTAAAAGCTTATTTTTTTTTTCATAAGTGATTCTTGATACTTTGCAATGAATTTATATTCGTAAATTCTTCTGCATAAATCTTACGCAATAATAAACCAAATTTAATACTTCCTAGTTGGTCCTGATATCTGATATAGTTTTAATTATTGATGAGGATGCTTTATGAAACCGCTTTATTAGCTAAACATTTATTGGAAGTATTATATTCAGTGGTTAACTTGATTAATTATTGCATATAGAAAGTATTCTTAAAAACAAGGGGAGAATTAGTTTATTCAATATATATTTCTAATCAAAGTGCTAAGAAATACACTGAATAATATTTTATCTGTTACACATTTTATACACTAAAGGGTAATTTTCCAAAGAGTTTTGCTTAGAACTGTTGAAGAACTTCACCACTTTTAGCTATTTATAGTTTAAAATAACTTCTTAGAAGAGTTTTTTGCTAATTCATCAAAATATAAGAACCTTAGTCAAGATGGTTAGCGCTTGAAGAGTGAAATAAGAGAATATGTACGTTCATCTTAAAAGTACGCATAGATGTCAGTGACTTGCAAACAACAAGTCTAATATGGAAGGTTTAGCGAAGGATAAGGAAATCTATTTATATACTGTCGTTTTTGAAAATTCATTTGATAACTCATGAAATTCTCACCCATAGAAGAGACGTTTATGGAAGTTTATATCTTGGATGAAGCATACGTGGCTATAAAATAACTTATACACTATCAGAATTACTAAAGCTGGTAGATGAGTAAGTGCAAGAAATTAAAATCTGAAGTAAGATAACCTGTGTTACCACCGTTGTGTGGTTCATCCATCTAAGTAGCTAACAAAGAAACTGTATCTTTAAATACATCTTTATGGCAAATACCTAACTGTATTTACAAGTTATATTTTTAATTTATTATAAAGATCACAGTTGAAGGTAATCTTTGAGTATGTAAACTTTTAAAGATAGGCAAGAAGATTAGTAGAGAATTTTTAAGGTTGATAAAAGATTGTTGCTATCTGATTTTTAGTGTTTTCCCTGAACTTACGAGCATCAGGTTAGACAACTTCATAAGCATCTACTTCATGAAGGAGTGAAGTGTTCACAAGTTGCATGAATACTAATGGAACTTCATCAAAAAGGTCCATAATCATAGATTTGGTTAACATAATGGTCAAATGATGACAACGATTATAAAGACCAACCTCTGATAAATAAAAACGAAGTCACTTCCACCCGCTATCCAGTAACGTTCACAGTTGTCCAGTAACCCTAATACAAATTCATGTAACTACAAAATACTAACCATGTCGTCATCCTCACTATGAAACTTTTGAAAACAAATGTACAAACTGAGGAAAAAGAAATTATCACACAAACACTCATATACACTTTTATTCACAGAAATGTCAAATAAACGGATCCTTTAGCAAAGAAGGCTATCTGACGGTCTGCTGAGAAAAGAATCTGTTGTTTACCAATGCTCAAATTAATATTTTAGTTTATACATAGAAATCCTGACCAACTGTAAGTGTTTTAATCATAGATTATGCGGGTCACTTTGATAGAAAGGTACCATAAAAGTAGCCTAATGTAGAAATTGAAGGTAGTCATTTAAGAATAGAGTGAAAATCACTAGTCAGTTCCTGAAAATCCAAGAAGGTTTAGGTATCTATTTTCACCTAATCTATACGTCCAATATTCTCATTATATTTAAGCGATACACAATATGACATGGTGCATTATCCTTTGTTGGGTATCAAAACGGGCTGTATGAACTACAAAAAGTGAAAGTTCTTTACTGTGACGGAATAAAAATGGTACATTTCTCTTGACCGCATCGTATTTTCTAAGTTGGTTGGTTTAATCGTGGAGCTTTCATCATCTTTCTTGACGAAATCATCAGCATTAACCTCAGTATGAAGTCAGCTGTCGATACCTCTCCATGAGTGATTCAGCAGTTTGCCCAAACAAACGGGTTTGTGCTTGGTTGTTTCCTTCGACTTTCGTGTCACTGACTGCATAGATCTTTCTGTTGGCTGTTCCGCTGTCCGAACTCTGACCTTTCTGTCGTTTATCATCTCTCTAGTTGATTGATTGTTGACTGACTTGAATGTCAAGCTCCTGGGAATTCTCGAATATTACTTGTTTTCCTCTATCCAAGAATTATACATTGTCAAAACTAAATTCATATCTACTGTTATCCACGTGCACTGAAATGATTGATTAAATGTCATAACGTCTAATAGCCAACTGGTTATCATGTAAACAAAGGCTATTAGGGCGTTTGTCTTCTTCGGCTGTTAATTTCTTTGGTCCACATAATATGGTTTAAAGGGAATTTGTTGATTTATGAGCCATATCAATTCCGGTTATGCCCAGTAATACTGTCATTATTTCTGATATATTCTTAATCTACGATAGAATGATCCGTTCGTTAATTTTTGTGCTTGATTCTGTAGTTGATGATGAATGGTACTGGCATCTTCTGATAAATTTTTGCAGGTAGGCGTTCTTACTTAGAATGGACACAGAGTAATTTTCTTCGTTTCTTCGTGAAGTTGTGGTACTGCAGTGTGTTCTCACTTTTTTGTAAAGTCTATACGCAGCTAATTTTGTGGGTTGTCGGGTTGTTTCTATTACAGTTGAGTATTTGGTCATTGCTTGTTGACTTCCTGTATATTTGAGTATCTGGTTTTCCAGCATTGGTCTTATTAACCAAAACATCCAGGAATGGCTGTTGGTTGTTCGACTCCTTCCCCACTGTAAATTTGATCTCATTGATAAAGTTGTTGATCAAACTGTAAGTGTTTTCTAAATCATCTTTCTTAATGACTGGGGAAGAATGGTCCACATAACGGATCAGAAGTTTTGGCTTTTTTACAGGTAAAATGGTGACTCTTAGTCTACATCACTACTTCTAAAATTAGTTCAAACGTTGGTGATCTCATTGGATTCCCTTTCACCTGTTTGCATATTGTGTCATTAAATTGGCAGACAAAGATCAGTGAGTTCCATCAGACTTACATAGTGATGTTTTATGCATTCTGAAACACTTGTGTCTTTAGTTAGTAGGAGAGGAACAGTATTCTTGACCAGTTATGGTTGATGATTGATATATATATATATAATGCTGTAACACTAAAGGATACCATTATTTCATCATTTTTTATATTAATACCTTCTGATCTTTCCCAAGATTTTTGTCGGTGATTTGATGGAATCTCCGCTGGTCTGCCCCATTTATTTCAGATTCCTCGAAAGTTTTCTGGAGGTTTTTTCAAGTTGGAGTCCACAGAAGTGAGACTATTGGGTACATTTTTTACATTAAGAAGACTCTTTATATTAATCAGTCAACTTTCTGAGAATTTAAATACGAGTCACAAATTTTTAAGGCTTCCCATCCTCTTATAAGTGGAGCCTATTTTTTTACAAAAACAGTCTGGTATGGCTGCATCGGGAATTAGTAAAGTTACATTCATAACAAAAACACTTTTATCCGTCATTAAAAAATGTATCCATTTTTTTTCTAATATATTGTTTACACAAACAAACTCAATAGATAGATGGAAAGACTTAAAATTTTTTTTTTGATGAAAACGAAATATATTTTTACAAAAATGTATTTCATCCACTAGTGTTGTACTTATAAATTGATGAATCTTTTCATTTAATAAGCAGAGTGGGAAAAAAAAATAAAAATTTAGTCTATAGATTTATCACTTAGTACAGTTTAAATTAAATGCTGACAAAGTTCAAATATTTGAATCTAAAAACAAATGAAATAACCACGTTATGAACAATCAGCCAGACCTCATACCTCAAGCCATGTCAATGAAATAAATTGTTTTTAAATTTTAATATAGCAACAGATGATATCTACATGAAATGAATAAAAATAGGAAAAACCATATAAATATAATATAAAAATGAGATAAGCTTTATTTATTACTAAATGATAACTACTACTTTTACTGATTATAAACATAAAATACGAAAGGCAATAAAGTAGTAGTAGAAAAAAACACCAAAGGGTGAAACGTAAAGGAAATAGCCTCTTTCACCTACCTAGGAGGGCAGCATCGTTTCAGCTACAGGCGGTACAGACGAGGACGTCAAATCCATTATCGGAGAAGCAAGACAAGCGTTCATTAAACCTTAAATCAATGTGCAGATCTTCTACACTCAGCATAAAGCGCGAACAACATCCAGATTTTCAACACCAACATCGAGTCAAGTTAGTGCTTCTATATGGCTCAGAGACTTGGTACGTTACGAAAAGCATTTGTAACAAACTACAGACATTCATCAATAACTGCCTATGCTGGCTCGATACTGAAGATCAGATGGCCAAAAAGTATGAACAACAAGGAACTCACTATGGCTAGCAGCAAACCAACTAACTACCCATCGCTCAACAAATATTCACTGGAAGTAAGTGGAGACGGATTGGATTGGGCATGCATTGAGAAGACCATTCGGGGACATCACGCATCAGGCCAGGTCCTTGAGTAGAACCCAGATGGGAAATGCCGAGTTTGGCGTCCGAGAGTGACATGGATAAGATGGTGTGAGGAAGATTTGAGAGCTTGTGGGCTGTCTTGGAGTCAGGTTGAAAATATTTCAGAGAACACAGTGGAATGCAGATGTGCTACTTAAGCCCTATGTTCCACTAGAATCCCAAGGGACAAGTTATATTATAGTGGGAAAAACATCCAAAACCTATGAATACAACCGTTTAATATGCATATTTCATAGAAGAGGATACAACAACAGACTGCAACATAATTAAATGTTGACTTGATGTCAGTGGCCTAGAAGTGGTGAATAAGGTTAGTTTAATTTCTGTCAAATATTCAAGCTGCATATCCGCCTACTTCTGCCGA